CAGCACTTTCCAGGGCTATCTTTGATTAGAATCTGTCCTAAACATAGGTGTGAAATTGATTTGCCCTGAGAAACAAACTCCAGGGCAGGGACTATCTCTCAAGGTGTTGCTTGTAACCTGTGTTCTAGTACCTAGACTAGAGCTCAACATCCTCCAGCCCTTCATAAATAGCTAGTAGTATCTTGTGCTCGCAAATATACCCTAATCACTCTTGCATCTACTCTGCAGATAAAATTGCTACATTCGTTCAATAAGCAGTTTTCCCCAGTTAATTCAGTAAAAGGAAATAAAAGCCCTTCTGCACATTTTCTGGGCCTGTTCATTTTGGAGGTCCTTTTAAATGCCTCCAAACATGTCATTTTCCTACATTAGGCAGGCTCGGTCCACTTAGAGGAAATGGGAACAGCAGCCTACACCAAGATCACCCAAGTATAAATGCGCATCCTGTATTAGGGTCCCCTCCCTTTACTTTGTGCAGTGAGAACCATGATAAATTAAGGACTCCCACTCTGGGGATAAATGGGCTCCCCGCCATGGAGCTTCCTACTCCCTTCTGCATTCACCTTTCTTCCTATTTACATTTTTCATAGGAGCCTGTTGACAAAGCCCAGGCTTTTGAATCTCACAGGTCTGTGGCAATGGTTTCAGGTGCTGGCCACCTCCCACACACCAGTCCCAGATGCCACATCTGCTCCTCTACCAACTGCTGGCACCTGCCTCCTTACTATGCCAACAGGGCCATATGGTCACATCTGCCCATTTTCTGTAATTCAGCTACCCAATGAGCACACTCCCTTTGTCTGAGACTCTGAAACTACTTAAGATGCAACTGATCTTAATACCAAAATGCCCCAGTGTAGACTCCAACAAGGGAGCGTAGTGATCAGCAATGTTCCCATTGATTCTGAAAATCAATGCGCTCAGAAAATTTATGTTTAGGAGACATTTTTCATGAACACTGATAACCTAGAAGCAATGGGTGATGAAATTCTCACACAGCAAACGTAGGGCGGGCTTTGTCACTAAATGAATTCATCAAAATGTTTACTGAACAACGTAACGATGAAACACACTAACAGTCGCAGAAAAATTGCAGTTTGATTTTGGACCGCATATGGCAGAAGAAGGTATACAAGTGGGAAAAAAATATAAATTCAGTTAACACTAATGGATGGTTTATTGGAAACCCTCAGAGCGCTTTTCAAAAGGACTTGACAGATTTTATTTTAATAAGATAGTGAAGAGGAAGTAGTTCAAAAGAGGTCATCAGTCTTTTATTTAACTAAACACTGCCCTTCATTTTGAAGGAAATGATACAATTTCAAATCGGAACCTCCTTCTCAAGAAGTGGTATGAGAACGTAACATTGATTTAACGTACAATCTTCAACAAAAATACAGTTTACACAATTCACCAGGAAATAAAACACACAGAGAATTTACCGTATTAGTCAAAGGAATTCCCCATGGGTCACAGGAATTAGAGCTAAGAAGAGAACATAGTGAAAATCTGAATAAACCAGTCAAGTTCATAGCTACCACGATTTGAAAAAAAAAAAATTTCACAAATAAAACATAACTTTTCAAACAAAACCATTCAAGGACCATGATCACAAGAGATTTTAGTATTTTCATTTATATTTTAAAAAATGGTTAGACAATCACATAATTATCAAGAGTCTTCGACACAGTGAATTCCATCTTAAGAAAAAAAAAATAGAAAACAAGTAGCATTAAATTTTCTTCACTCTCCATAGCATATGTCATATAAAATTAAAGTTTTGCTTCCAAAAATATGTTTCCATGTGGTTGTCGTGTTGTCTAGTGGTGCTCTTAGGGCCAGAAGCACCAAAGACACGAGAAGTGTTAACCACCGAAGTGTCATTTTTTTCATAAAAACTAAAAACTTTCTTAAAGGTCTGGTGTAAAGTCTTCTGCTAGGCATTTTAGTGCTTATTATAAAGTCATTTGAAACCACATGTGGAATAAAAGCTACAAAAAGTAGTTCTTTCAATACAAAAAGTCGTGTCGCTGAAGTTGTGGGCTTCTCTGACATACATAAGCAGTCTCAATAAAATATTTGCTCAAATAAGAAAATAGAATTTGTTTCATTACTTTTTAGTATTCGGTCCGGTCCGCGGCCCTGTTCATCCCTGCCACAGCTTCTCAAGAACGTCAGAATCAATATTTCTTTCTTTCAGAGAACATACATACTTCACAGCGCAAAACAGTTCTGAAGTCTTATTACAAGGGAGAAACAGAAATTATTAAATATATCTTTTTTTTTTTTTTTTAAAGTGCCGGATGCAGCCATAGCCTGGACATGAAGAACTCACTTATCCACAACACTGCCACCTTGAGGAGAGAGCGGAGTCCATTGAGTCCCCCTTTCTTGGAGCCTTCGTTGGTTGGTTGTTTCTTTAAAGCATTAGAACCCTAACAAAACTTCCAGTGAAATCCTTCTTTGTATTTACACGCTTCACTTCTCGGGTAGCCAGTAAAGACACATGCGTTACATGGGAAAGCCGTATCCAGAGTAGATGGATTTTCTCGTCAGGTTCATTTTCACAAAAACCTCTTCTCTGGAGGCAGAATGATACAATGGGCGCGGATTTCACAAGTTCTTCCTTCAAGTTGAGACTTCTCACGGAAAGCAGTTCCTTTGGGGTGCCCGGGGGGCTCTTGGTTTCACTTCAGGTCATGATTTCATGGCTTCGAGGGTTCAAGCCCTGTGTCTGGCTCCGCGCTGACAGTGCGGAGCCTGCTTGGGATTCTTTCTCCCTCACTTTCGGCCCCTCCCCACTCGTGCTCGCTCTCTCAAAATAAATAAATAAAAACTTAAAAACAAACAAAAAAGCAGTTCCTTTTTAACAGCCTGTCACTGCTGTTACCTCCATGTGACCAATGACATTCACTTTCCAACTGAGGGCAAAGGAGGGACACAGAGATGGGGGAGTGGAAGAGCTAGCTGGCTAGCCAGCCCAAAACTGCTAGAAAGTGCCGTCCTGCTGTTCTCCTTCTGGCTGTCCGCACATTGGTCTTTCGACTACTGCGTTAAGCATAAAAGAAAATCCAGATCTGTTAGGTATGTTAGGCTCTCCTAAAGGTCTCTTACCTTGCTCAGCTTTTCCATGAGCGAAAGAATGTACACATGAAACTGTGACATTATTAAGCATGGAAAACTAGATCTGCATCTCCACAGGTGACTGGTAGCTCTCCAAAGTTCCAGACCAGGGCTGAGTGTGGTTCATCTTTAGCAAAGTGACAGGACCTGTTTGGTGATCCTTGTGAGAACAGGGAACACAGCTAATGTCCCTGAAATTAAATTATTTCATATTGAGGTGCTACGACGGTCTAGGCTGTTAAAAATTATGGCCTCAGCTTCCAAGTTTGAAAAAAGTATACCAGGACATCCTTCAAGTCTTGTTGCCATGAGTTAGAAATCCCCGGGGCAGAAGGCCCATGGACCACTATAGGATGTTCACACAGAATTCCAATCCAACTGTGAGAATTCATTCACAAAAGGACTTGTTTAGTGTCATCTATAAGGATTCCCAAGAGAAAGAAAAACTTCACTCAACTTTTGAGACGGCATTAGCAATGCCAATCTGCAGCAGAGAAGAACTGTGAAATCAAGGGCATACACTACCAAAGAGCTCAGAGGAATACGAGATGGGTTGTAAAAATGCTCTAAAAGTCCCACAGTAAAGCACACAGGATCAGCAGCAGATCCAAATGGTATAGGCCAGCCTGTGGCTGACAGATCTCACAACCCTAACCCGTGCCTTAGGACTGTCACCAGATTTGGTGCGGACTACACCAGGTGGCATTTAATTTGTGATGGCTGTCACCCCTCTGAATTGCAAAAGCGCTCTGAAGGGGTGTTCTCCAAGGATCAAAGACACTGCTGCAACAGAACAAGACTTTGCATCTTGAATTAAATTGCATCAGGTGTGGCTAGCGAAACAAACACCTTGTCGTTGAGCCCACTTCAAGCCTAAGATTTTATCCGGGGCAGAATAAAAGCGAAAGTGAGGGGGAGGAACAGTGAGGAGGAAAAAAAAAAAAATTACAAGCCCACCACCAAAGCCTTACATTTTAAAAAAGGTTACCTTCACTGTTCAGGAAGGGGGTTAGGGTGATGGGTGGGAGATTAACTAATCCCTGCCAGGGCAACCCCATTTGGCTGCTTCTGTAGTGGATACTTTATGGGGTGGCACCAGCCAAGCCCCCTGGGTGACCTGCCGAGGAACACAGCCAAGCAGCTTTAATTAGATCTGAGACACAAAGGGCTATTCCCTCCTTTGATAACAACGAGGCTGCCAAGTGCCCACGATAGCAGGTGAGAAACAAAGGCGGCAAAACAGAACCATAATTGAATCCTTCCCCTAGCTGGTCGGTGACAATGATTTACTTGGAACCTGGGAAGTGGTGGCTGGAGCAGGAAGGAGCAGGAGACTCTGCTGGAAGCCAGCGCCAGATGATGAATTACTTGCGGGCGGGGGTGTGAGGGGGGAGGTAGCAAAGTCTTTGTTTTGTAGCCCAAGTTTACCCAACTATTTATCACCCTTCACGGGCGGGGCCTGCCCTGCTGTAGTCTGCTGCTCCCGGACCTGGGCCTGGTCTCCGGCCTTACACCCCAGGAATCCCCAGCTACCCCCAGGTACCACACACACCCCTGGGGAGTGGCGGTAGCAGATCTGTAGCTCTCGGAGCTGGCGGGGCGCCGCCACCCAGGCCGCAGTACAGGGCACCCTTCAGGCCTTCAGAGGAGGGGAGGAAGTGGGGCGGGGTGGGGGGGGTAGGCAACGGCCGGCCCCAGTACTCTGAACTTCCCTCCACCCCCGAGGGCGAGTGCTTAAAGGTCGATTTTGGAGCCAGGGCCAGCAGGGATGAAGTGTCGGGCAAGTCCACCTTTTGGCCCACCTCAGAAAGAAAGAAAGAGCCAGCGGGCAGGCAGGACGTGCCCCCCTCCCCCCGCCCCGGCCAAAGTGCTCCTACCTGCTCCCTCTTCCTCCTCCGTCCAAGATAAAAGCTCAAGCCACAGCTGGCTGCGCAATTCGCCACCTCTCCTTTTCCCAAAGGGCCCAGGAGCCCAGATGGGGCCCCGAAGGTGCTGGAGGAGGGAGTGAGAGGAGGGAGGGGGTGGCGGCCGCGGCGAACGGCTCCCTCTCAAGGCTCAGCACTCGGCTCGCGCCTCAGTGCACCGCCGCCTCTCGGGCCTCTTCCTCCCGTCCGGGCGCAGGGGGGCGCCCGGGAGGCGGCGTAGTCCGCGCCGCATCGCTGTCGCCCTCGTCCGGCTCGGCCGGATGTAGGTGCATGGCGAGCTCCTGCAGCACCGCCGCGCGCCCGATCTGGTCGTTGCGCCGTTTCTCCATGATCAGGTCCTCCAGGCTCTGGAACTCGAGCGTGTGGCTGCGCTGCGCCGAGAGCTGGATCTGCAGCCGGTAAGGCTGCTTGCCGATGCGCAGCTCACCGCCAATCTTGAACTCGCGCTTGCCGTAGCGGCACCAGGCGGCGAAGCTCTCGGAGTTGCGCCAGCTCAGCTCGCGCTCCTTGGCGCCCACGTGTGCCAGCGCGTTGCGCACCACGGCGCCCGGGCTTAGTGGCTTGTAGCGGTACAGGTCGTTCACCACGCGGCCGCGCCGGCCCTGGCTCGCGTCGGTCAGGAAACTGTTGCTCACTTCCAGCCGGTGCAAGTGCACCACCTGGAAGTTGCCCACGTATACAGCCCAGTGCGGGTACTGCGCCTGCGACACGAACTCCACCAGGTCGCCAGGCCTGCACTTGTTGAGCAGGTTCTCGGGCGTGTAGGTGCTCAGCGCCGCGGAGCCCGGCGAGAAGCTCTTCTGGTAGATGCACTCGTCGCGGTAGAACACGGAACACTCCACTTCGTGCAGCCGCGGGTCGTACGGCTGCGGCGGCGGCAGTGGCGGTCCGTCGCCGCCGTCGGGCAAGCCGTCGCCGCCGCCGCCATCCGGCCCCTGGGGCGGCGGCTGCGGCTCCACGTCCTCATCGTCGTTGGAGAAAATGTAGGAGACCCCGATGCGAGGCCCGTCGTCACGGTCCACGCCAGTCGGGTCGGCCGTGGGAACTTCCTTATAACTTAGGTGGGTCAGTTTCTCCACCTGGTTGCCCATCACGCTGCGGATACACGTTCACACAGCCGAGAGGGGAGAAAGCGAAACCACCACTAGGGTCATTGGCACGGGTCCCCGGACAGGGGCTGAGGCCACCTGTTGGAAGAGGAAAGCAAGGAAGCCATGTAGGACCCTCCGTGAAAGGGACGATTTCTTAAGAGAAGGAAGAATGGCTGGGGGCCCAGCAGCTGGAGCCATTTTACGGGGAGGCTCGGTTGCGGCGAGCCTTCCCTCATTTCTCCACCTCTAGGGTCACGGTCACAGGAGGCCGGGCAACTCTAGCTCTACCCCGCCCCCAGCACTTCACCTCGCCCGGGCAAAAGCCCATTGCATCAGCAGCTCCAACAGCTTCCGCCGGCGCCCTACCTGCCGAGCCCAGGCAGGAGGGAGTAAAGACGAGAAACTTTACTCCAATCCCCCTTTTCTTCATCCTCCTTTCACCCCTGGGCCCTAACTTAGCCCCTGAGACGCCCCCCAGGCCTCCATCCTCGGGGAAACCGGCGAGGATCCCGCAGATCGGCCGGGGCAGGTGAACCACCCTACCTGGCTCACCTGCGGCGCTCTCTCCACCCGTCTCGCCCGCCCCTCCCCCGCGCGCCTGCCCTAGGGCTTCGGGTTACCTGCGAAAACTCACCCGCAGAGAGGTGGAGGCCTTGGGGAGTTTACCCCTCCCTCCCCCCCAACCGCACCTTGAGACTTCTAGGGTGAGTTTGCAGGTGTGGGATCCGCAATCCCTCCTCTCCAGGCGCGGGTGGCAGCGAGGCTGGGCAGCGGGAAGCGACGCATGTCTTGCCCCCGCGGGTACGTAGCGCCCCAAGATATGAAGGTGGGGGGCAATACCTGTTTACACCGACCCCCTCCCTCCTGCAGGGACTGCTGTTCCCCCTCAACCTACTCTCGGGGGTAGGTGGGACGCGAGAAGGCGGAGAAGGAAGCAGCCAGGCTGCCCGGCGGCAGCAGCTCCGGCTCGGACCCGGCGAGCAACAAGCGCCGGAGCGGGAGGGACGGGATTGTAGATCCGGCTCCGGGCTCCCCGGGCGGGAGCGCAGCCCCTGGCATTTAAAGAGACAGAAGCTTGCTCCCGGAGCCCAGGTCTTTCCCACACGGCGCAGAGCCTCCGGGATCCCCGCCCCCGCCCCGCCCACCCGGGCCGCGAGGCTCCGCCCAGACCACGCCCCCACGTCGGAGCGGGTTTAAATCCAACTGGTAAGTAATCAACCGGCGGGCGGGCGGGCTGGTTGACACTGATCGCCGCCGTCTGCGCTGGCCCCTGGGAATCCTACTTGCCTTCTTAGAGCTAAGGCTTGCTGTGGGGGTCTTTGCTGCTTGCTCAGTTTGTATTTTTCCCAGCTGATGGCTTTAAAAAGAAATTGGAAGGCATACGCCACCTGCCAATGCAGAGATGAGAGAGAGAGAGAAAATAAGAGTTTGGTGTTTGTTGTGTTTCTTCTCTTCTTTCCTAGAGTACCTGGAGAGGGAGGAATAGTCACTAGGTAGTAAACAGACATTTGCTTCTTTTCCTTTCTTTTTTTTCTTCTCTTCTCTTCCCTTCTCTTCTCTTCTCTTCTCTTCTCTAGATTGTATTTCTTGCCAGAGGTCACAGAAAAGAATGTTTTGCTAGGACAGCTCAGTTTAGAAGTGTTCCTAGAACGGGAAAAAAAAGTTCACAGAAAGGAAACAGAATAAAACAGAACAAAGACTAAGTTGCTGGCTTGCTTTCAAGCCCTGCGCTCCATTTATTAGATGTCCCTGGAAGTTAGCACAAAGTTGATTTCATAATCTCTTTGTTTCTAATGTTACCAGGTCATCCGGTAGTGAGAGAAAGCATTCAGCTCTCCTTGTTTTTCTTGGGGCTAGGGGACATAGGGATTGTCTAATTGTCCTTAAATTAAAAACAAATTAGCAGAGGCCCCTCCTAGATGTATTTCCTATTTGCTGGTTTACAGAAGGAAGTGACAGGAGAGGAGCATTGCCTATTAACCTTCACTACAAGTGGACACTTCCTCCATGCTGATTTTGCTTTTTGTTTCTTTGTGTATGTGTGTTTTGTGTTTTGTTTTGTTTGTACCTAAGATGCAGGTTACCAAAATGTTCTTTGTCTTTTAAAAAATAATAGGTCTAGATTGGAGTGGGGGTGGGGCATTGTTAATAGACAAGCTCAGGCAGTCACTGGAACACCAGACTAATGCGTGGTGGAATTAAGAATGCAATTTAAGACCTCTTCTACCCTGTTTTCCATCACTGTTTCTTTTAACTAAATTTTTCCAGGTAACACTATTATTTATTCAGTGTGCATACCAACCAGTGGAAACAGGCATATACTAACGCTACTGCGATCCTTTTTAGTTTGAGAGAGAAAAAAAAAAAATCAATCTACTTAGGTCCTTTTGAGCCCGAACGATCAATATTGGTGGGGCTGTGATGGAAGTTAGTCCTTCAGCAAGTCTAAAATCACAGTATAAGTTAGACCAAAAAGAGACTTCTGTGTGCCTGCTGTGAAGATTAAATTTAAATATTTTCTGAACAGCCTGAGGCACATGTTCTGAGGTGCTGCTGTTACCTGAAAGCTTTGTGTCAATGTAGGTGCCCATTTTATAGGGAGGAGTTAGGCTTCTAGAGGCAATGGTGACTCATCCTATGTCTATTAGACTGGGAGACTTGTCTTATACACCACACGTTCATTCTACAAGTTCAACAGGCACCAGTAGTGATAAGGCCACTTTGCTCTTAGCTGCTACTGGGTAGGTTGGCTAGGGATGGGAGAATCCATAGAAGGATGTGGTGGTATGACAGTTTGCTGCCAGCACTTTGGGGCAAAGATCTAATAATTAGGAAACCACACCTCATTGTCTAGATGTCTGTCCCCTTGTCTTGAGGAGATCTGTTCATGTATGTGATAGTGGCTCAGCAATGTTTCTTCAACTGACCAACTATAAAGTCTCAGAGAAAACTTGTGCTGAGTCATTTTTATATCCCAATGCTTGGTACTTAGTAAGTGCTCAATAAATGCTTGATAGATGCATTGCTGGAACCTTGGCCATCACCTGCCTCCTGGGTAGCTTCTGTTAATTCCTGTTTGGGGGCCCCAACTGCCATCTCATCATCTTGGTCAGAGGTTGTATAGGGCTCCCAAACATACTTTGCTCATCTCCAATAATCATTTAATTAATTACACTTGGGAAATCTCATGTTTAGATTTCCAACTTCACTTGAAAAAACTAACTATATGAGCCCATCAGGCCCATGTTCCAGGATAACATCAAAGAGCTAGAACTAAGTGATGGTTGCCTTGGAGATGAGATGTAGACGCCAGTTGGCCCCAATCCTGTGCTACCACCTCACCTACCTGGTTCCTTGATCGGCCCGGAGAATCTCTGTGTTGGCCATCTCTGCCATTCAAATTCTACCACTATCCCTTTTGTCACTTCATTATATATAATTCAGCAGTGGATCATATACCACCTGGTATTATTCTTTAATTCATGTACTTAAAATGTCTTTTCTAGGGAGAGCTTGATTGAAAACATATTTCTTGAAGACCTACTAGGTACCTCCATGTCCCCATGGAACTCAATGTAGTGGAGGAGACAGAGAAATAAGTAGACTTCTTAGGACAGTATGACATGTCCTGAAGGAAGAGGAAGTAGAGGGTGCTGAGAAGTTTCAAGGTATGTGGGTATAAAAATGAGTGTCAAAATGCCTGCCATCAAGGGTGTTGGACTCATGGGGGTGACACAACTCTAGATTAATAATGACAATGACCGGTGAGCTCTTGACTCTATTATTCTATTAAATTTAGATAGGCTAGATGACTTCTCCCAGCAAGCGGGACAGTTTCACAGGTCCCATTGACTTCGAGGCTTGTGCTCATAACCACTTTGTTTAAAGATTTGACAAATTCTTGAGTTTTGCTGATTTTACTGGGTGCCAGAGATAAAACGCAGTAGACAAAGTCCTTTCTCTGATGGCGTTTATACACTGACAGGGGGAGGGGTGGCAAGTAAGTCAATGAATTAGGATTTCTGAGAGATAAGGGCCATGAAGAAACTAAAATAGGGTAATGGGATTAACTGTGGCTACAGAGAGGCTGTTGGGGTGGTGACCTACTTTGGATAAGATGGTCAGAGATGGACTCCTGCGGAAGGGGAACTTGAGCTGGCCTTGGCATTCCCTTCACATTCCTAACCAAGGTGGGAAGGAATTGGGATGTTCAGGAGAAAGAAAGGAGCCAGTGAGCAAGGGGCTGGGTTGGGAGGTACAGTCAGAGAGGTGGAAGGCTTTGAAGTTTGAAGGCCCTTGGAAAATGGACCGGAAAAGTATGGGAGAGGACGCACGTCCAGTAGAGGGGCCAGGCTGCGTGAGAAAAGGCACTCCATGCAAATGGAGCCTGGCAGGCAAAGGATGAAGCCCCGTGAAGGCATCTTCCCAAAGAGCAGCCACTCACTGAAGACATGTTCGTTGGATTTGGATTCTCAGCCACACCATAGCTTCATCCCCCCAGCCCGGCAGTGACCCAAAATGTCACATCCCACACACCTTCTTGGAGGAGGCGCTCAATAAAAACAAGCTGTGTTGAATGCCAGTTAGTCACTCTCACAGTATCCCTGTCCAGAGCAGCAGGGAATAATCGAGAGCTGACATTTCTACCTGACAAGGCATGGGCACAGACTCTTCAGGTGTAGTGGTTTGAATGGCTCACTCCAAGAATGTAGAAAACAGGAGCACGAGGGCAGAATTATCTGATTAGGCAGTCTGGAACTCTGCCTGCTCCCCCAGGCTGGGCCCCAGGCTTACAGTGGCAGCAGATAGCTGAGAGAATTTGCTGGAAAACAGGTTCTTCCACACCTTCTTATTTGGGGAAACTCCCAGACTTACCTGCACCCGTTACCCACTGCTGAGGTTTTGTTGAGATCGTAAGAAGTGAGCGGTAGCAGAATGGAAACAGGTGACCTGGGCTGGCGTCCTGTTTGCCAGGTATATGACCTTGGAGCCTCTGTTCTTCATTTGGCCTCCTTTCCCAGTCTCTAAAATGGGGCTGATGCTACTCCTTGTCTTATGAATCCTCCAGTGAGACCGTTTATGTGGAAGTACCTTGTAAACCCTAAAGACTGTGGAGATGCCAGGCATTATTCACACATCATGTAAGAGCCAGATGATGATTTTAACACGGGGAGGAAAAGGATAACCATTTGTCGTGGGAATGGTCTTCCTAAATTTCCATACTAATCCTGTGTTTTCACATTTCCCAGATGAGCACTCAAAGGCCCAGGGATCTGAATCTTGCTGACTGTAAGTGAGAGAAGCTGGATTCAAATCCAAATCCAGCTGGTTCCAAGTCTACTTTTCATGCTGCATCAAGCTGCCTGAGGAACAGCAGCATATATGTTCATTCAGACATTGGCCAGGGTGTGGGCTGCTATGTCCTCTGGATGTAGAGTGACCACCTTGTCCTGGTGTGCCTGAGACGATCCCTGTGTTAGCACGGGAAGTCCCGTATCCTAGGCAAACTGGGACAGCTGGCTGCCCTACATGGATGTCATTGCCCTCCCTGAATCAAGGGCTTTCGTGGGGGTGTTGCCGGGGGGTGGAGCAGGGATGGGACAGGAGCAAGGTGAGTCAGGTGTTTTAGTCCAGACCTACCTCACAGAGGTGAGGTTGTATACACACAGCAGCAACTGCAGGAGCAGGGCCAGCCCATGAAAAAGACAACACAGATAACCTGCTTTGGCATTCATTCTTTTTTCTCTTTTTGTAATGGGCTCCTCCGCAGGAGGCAAGGGCTAGGTCTCTCTTCCCCTGTGAGCTGCTCTTCCCACCCTCCTAGGCTGGCTCTCTTGGGCTTTAAAACCTGCAGGAGTTTTGCACTTTAACTGAATTATTCCTTGACCTTCAGATTAAGGAAGGAATCACAGAGGCCGCCTAGTGGGAGTGGCATCGGCTCCCATATTTTATTTGCGTCCCCTCCCCCTACGCCGCCCCCAGACAATCAGAGCGGGCTCTCCCCAGCAGGCTGGGCCACAGCTAGTCTGCCCTGTGGGTAGGTATGAAGACCAGATGCCCCGAGAAGGACTCTCGGGCGGCCACCCACCCCACCCACCGCAAACCATCAGCTCTCCAGGCATTCATTCATCCTGTGGCCAAACTGCGAGGAAGCTTTGAATCCTTTTTCTAGAAGAGGGCTCACCAGTGGGAAAACACGGAGGCCTGTCCCCCCCAGATCCTTGCTGTTTTGGGAGGCCCCTGACAACATACTGTTGATGTTGAACCGGAGAGTTTGATTTGTGCTCGGGAGTCTGAGCTTGTAGCTGGGCTCCTGCAGAAGCCTCATGAAAGATGCATTTCACCAGGCGGTTCCAGGGGAGAGACTGGCTTAAATTACAGCTCCATAAATCCAAATATTGGCATCTCTGCAAATCCAAATGTAGAGATTTCAAAAAAAGTCTAAATTCTAAGAATCTTATTTTGCACTTCTTGTGCAAAATGGGGAGGATGAGATATTTAGAGAGGAGACAAGGCTGTCAATAATGAGAAAAGCTTTAGCACAGCGAACCCAACCCCCTTTTCTTTCCTTGGGCATTCTTCATGCTTCCAGGGAAAAGGGATGACATGAGAGAGGAAGGCAGCATTTGTTCAGCTTGGCTTTTTTCAGGACAGATTAGGGGGACCACCCACCCAGGATTTGGGGCATAGGGCTCAACAAATCTGGTTGGTCAATTTCTGTCTACTTTCCCCAAGCCACTTCTAGGCCTGGGACCAAGGGAACCCCATGGGGAACTCACCCCACTATAATCTGTTCACAACCCAGCAGCCCCCAGCAATCCCATGAGACTCTGAGCCAAACCAGATCACTCCTTTGCTCAAAACCCTCCTGTGGCTCCCTATCTCCCCTGGAGAAGGGCCAAAGTCCCTAAAATAGTCCCGAAAGCCCTGGCCCACCTTCCCCATTACCTCTCTGGCACCTCTTCACGCACACCTCCAGACACACAGGCACCTTACTATTCCTCTCCTGTGATGGGCATGCTCCTCTCTCACAGCCTTAACATTTGCTGTTCCTTCTACCTGGAACATTTTCCCCCAGATATCTTCATGGTGTGCTAGGTCTTAACTCAGATGATAGCTTCTTCGTATGCCTTCCCTGGCAACTCTATTTAAAATTCCAGATGTCCTCCCATACATACCCCTTATTCTTTCCTGATCAATTTCTTGATCACTCAACTCATTTATCACCTTTTAGGATTCTACTTTAATTTCTCTATTAATTATTTTTGTTTATTATCTCTCCTAATTAGAGCATAAGCTCTATGAAGTCAGGGATCCTTGTTTTGTTCACTGAGGTATCCCCAGCTTCCAGAACTGTGTTTGACACATGGAAAGGATTGTTCTTAATTTAGAGATAAGCAATTACTTATAAAATTTACTAAACACCTATGTGTGCCAGGCACTCTACGAGACAGTTGAATTTCAGAGGGATTAAGAAGTTAAGCACAGGTAATGCAGCTAATTTCACCAAGAAATTATAGCTCTGTCCTGTTCAACATGATAGCCACCTGTCCTATGTGGCTATTGAGCACCTGAAATGTAACTGGTCTGAACTGAAATGGGTTGTAAATGTAAAATGCACACCAATCTTACACTATGACACAAAAAATTTAAATATCTTACTTTTTTTTTTTTTTTTCTGAGTGATTACATGTTGAAATTGTGATATCTTAGATCTCCTGGGTTAAACAAAAGATATTTTTTACAGAGCCCGGACACCAGCCATTAACATTACTGAGCATGTGCTACTCCCTGCCAGCTAAGCAACCTTCTGAGAGGCATCTGGGGACTCACATAAGACATGCTTACAAAGAATACAAATTGACTTAATAATTATATTTCCTTTTGTCAATCAGTAAGCTGAGAGGTGAGGGGCTGGCTTTATGCCTCTGACTCTGTGGGCTAAGTCCCTCCACTTTCCGTGAGTTGTCAGAGTTGGTTTCTGAGCCTTTGAGCTTGATGATTACATACACCTCAAATGATGGAGAATTCACGGAGGTGGTAATAAACAAACAAGTAAATAAGATCGTAGCAGCTAACGTCTGTGAGATGCTTACTATGCATAGCACCATTCTAAGACCTTCACCTACGAGGTAGGCGTTGTTATCATTATCCTCAAGGATCTTGCCCATGGCAATACAGCTAGTGCCTTGCGGAGTCAAGAGTCAGACATAAATAAAACAGTGCCACAGAGTAGGGGTAACCTCGAGCTAGCTGCCCAGCAGGCCCAGATAGTAACCAGTATGGCAGAGTTCCTTTGTCTTCATACTCCACGTTCCCCCTGGTCCCACCTGTGGGTGATGAGGCCCTCACCTGTTACCTTTGCATTCATTCCTGAATCTGACTCTTCGTCACCCTTCCGACATCATGTCCTCTCAGTTTCCCACTTGCCCACTACGTATGTCCCAGCCACGTCAGTCCTTGGTTTCCTGTCGACACCAGGCTTGTGATTACCTCAGGCCTTGACAGATCCATTCCCTGGGCCTGGAATGTTCTAGAATTCCACTCTAAACAAAGCTAAATCCTTTGTCTTCTTTATGCCTCCAATTAAGTCAAGTCCTTAGAGGGGGTTTTGCTAACTAGCTTGTTACACACCTCACCCTTCCTCAGCTTGTTTGTTTCCTACATAACACTTATTACAGTAGTGATTATATTTGCTTATTTCATCATTGCCTGTGTCTCAAGGAATCTAGACTGATGTGTCACTATTGAACCCTCGTTGTCCAGTATAGTGTCCTACACACAGTAGATGCTTAACAAATATGTGCTGACTAAACACACTCTTCTTTGGATTAGCCTGATATTCTCATTTGATGTGACTCAGGAGAAGCATTTCTTCCAAAAAATGATTTTGAGTTTCAAGTGTGTGCTTAGTTCGTAAAACCCAGGTGTGAAGGGGAACCAGGAAGAAGTAGATGGAGTAAAATGGGTGAAGTAGGAGAAATAGAAAAGAAAAGAAAAAAAAAAGAAAGGAATACAATAAGGACCTATTAAGGAGAACAAATATCAAGAAAGGGTTTTGCTAAAGTTCACGGCATTGGGGTTGATTGCCAGTTTGGTGGCTGAGTTCTCGGACTAAACTACGGGAGCGAACGATGGGATGGCGTTCTCCCTCTACATGGTGAGGACCCGCCTGCGGGCTAGCCCTGCCCTGGGCCCTGTGGCAGGGGCTGAATGTGCACTGCTCCACATGGCAGTGAGCCCCTGTGCCTGGCAGTGCAGCTCCAGGAATCCATATTGAATGCCTACTTTATGCCATCCGTTGTTCTCCCTTGTTATGCAGAGGGAACAAAACCTAATATTTGCCCTTCGGATGCTCACGGCTCCATCACACCAACTAGCATCTACTGAACAGCTCAGGAGGTATTTAGTAAACATTTTTTTTTTTTTTTAAGTAACGGATTAATGAATGCATAGAATTAAGCCTTTGTCTTAAGAGTCCTAAACGCAGTTGGGGATGCCAGACGAAGTATATTTAGAGACTGAGCCCAAAGGGTAAGTTCTATAAGCTTATATAGCTATGTTTACCTAGCGTTCGCAAACTGGAGAAGCTATAATCACTCCGTACATAGCTATTGTAGGGGAGGAAGCAACTGATTTTGCTCTACCTGTCTTAGGTTCATTGGCTGGGGTCCTCAAATTAGACTGGCAAATGACAGATTAACAAGAGAAAAACAAATAAAAGCTTATTAACGTGTGCTTCACGCATCTACACAGGAGTGCTCTGTGATCAGTAGATCAAAAGGGTGGTTGGAACCTGGGCTTGTATAACATCTTAGCAAAGTATAGTAATTTTGTAGAGAAGTGACGTGACAAAGAAAAAGGACTTTGAGCTTCTAGGGAAAGCAAATTGTGGGAAGGCAAATATATGGGGAAACTAATGGAAATTTCCTCAGTGCCATCTTAACTCCAGTGGTACAGGAAGTGGGGAAAGGGGACACCTTAACAAGGGGGATTTATGTTCTGTTTTCAGGCAGAGAGGTAGAGGGCAGAGAACTTTTCTTATATCTGCTTCTTCTCAGTTGCTTTCAACTCAATCCTTGTGCCAAAGTGACATCTTTTGGGATGGTGTGTTATACTACTCTTTACTATGAACTAGCAAAACGATGAGATCCTATCTCTGAGATAGCAGGAGAATTCATTCCGTGCCAGGTACTGTGGTAATTTTGTAATCATTATCTGGTTAACCCTTCTCACAACCTCCCAGGGCAGGTTCTATCAGGAGTCTAATACTCACTTTATAGCTGAGGAAAGTGCACCATCTAAAGGGACCCGTTCCTATCACAGAGCTGGCAAAGAAGCCAACCAACAGAAAATGGACCAAGACAGGTCTGAATACAAGTCTCACTGGACCGGGAACCCCGGTGCTCCAACCACTATTTGCCCCACTGATGTGACAACAACAGAAAGGAGCTTCTTGGTAAGGCAAAATGCAGCCATTAAGTGTTTCTTTCTCCTCTTCCTCCTCCTCTAAGTGGGGCATGCTTTACCCAGAGCAGCTAGCTCAAGGTTTTCAGACTGGTTTCTTAGGACTTAGCACACCCATACTGATTTCAGTAGCAGCCTGATCGAAGATGGCCCCACTGGGAAAAGGAACCTGAACTTTCCATATCAGGATAGCCCAGGGAGAGGCAAAAAGAAACAACCTGGGGACCCTGACTAATTTGACAAATGAACGTATTACTGTGGGAGGGTCTGAGTCATTAGAGCTTTGGGGACATGCCAACTATGATAAATAAATTGGATTTCAGTGTGCTGTACCGAATCGCTACATCCCCATAGGCACTTCAACACAACACCAAACCTGAGCGTGAAGAAGTCTGCCATTTTGGCAAGGTCGAAAAGATTCCCATTCCCAGCTGGCAAATTTCCCTCACCTCGTGATTTACAAATTCCTGCCCAAATGGTCAGGGACTGGATCAATATTTACCAATACTGTACTCAGCCTCTTTCCTTCCATTGTCCACAAGCCCCAGGGGCTCTTCCCTCCTGGGTCATTATGTAAATGAGTTACTGGCAGAATATGACAGCCTTTAACTAGGAACACTCCACCTTGACCATCTCTAGTTAGCTGGATTTCTGCTTAACCGAAGGTTAAATAAAATCTGCTTTGTTTCCTTCCTTGTTATTGAAAATCTTCCTAAACTGTGTTAGTTCACCTACCTGCCTAAGTTTCTGGAGTAGAATACAAATAATTACATTTTTGCTTGGTGATCGCACATCTTGCAGTGCCTCGGGGCACTCTTCTTGCCTCGTGGTTAGGATTAAAATCTCCATGTAGTTGTAGACTTTTGTGAGAAATTGGGTGCCAACTCTCCTTAGTTGAAAAGAAATTAATTTAGTTTTATTAAGAGAAACACAGCATCTTGCCTTCCTGGTGCCTAGCAGAGTGTCAGGGGTATTTTTCTCAAACATGCTGGTGGAGTCATTGACTACCTGCTATGAATTTATTTCGTGCAGATTCTCCCCCCCCCCCCCCCAATAATAATTGTATCTGGTCTTTATTGATTGCTAATGGTAGTTCCAGGTGTTGCACTAAGCCCTGTGCGTGCTTTACAGCAATTTCACCGCATTTTGCCACACGGTGGGTGGGCTTTCTTCTACAGATGAGGAAAAGGAGCCTCAGAGAGGTTGAGTGACTAGGCATATGTTCTAAAACTAGTAGGAAGGCACAAAACAGAATTCACATTACTTGAGGGGTTTTATTTATGGATGGCAGTTTTCCTCTGCATGAGAGGCTAGATATGCCCGAACTGCTCCAAAAACCACAAGAAAATGGAACGTATGAGAAGCGAAATTGAGGTGGGGAAGACAGACGTTTATCCCATGGTCCTAGACTTCCCATCGATTGGGGAGTCAGTACAGTTTTGTAATTGCGAGAAGGAATTTTCCCATTATCTGTGGGGAAGGACCAGGCTGTTTGTTTTGTTGGCTTGCTTTGTTTATAATTTCTAACTTTTTGTGCGTGGTACCTTTGCAAAAGAACATAGATACCAATTACCAGAAGAATGAAGTAAAAATAATAACAGGAGTCCAAGCCCTAATTTTTAAAAAGTGATTATTAGATTTACAGATATGCAATAGTTGTCAAATAGTTACAGAATTTCGAGTGGTTCACTCCCAGTTTTTGTTCTTTCCCTGTGGACAGGTAACAGTCGGTGGACCTACTCCCATTCCACTTTAGAGTGCCGATGGGGTTTTGGGGTGATGGGGGTCCGGACCTGATGGCCAAGAAAGAATTCTTGAGACATCTTTGGTGCAAAAAAGGTGATTTTATTAGAGCAGGGGACAGGACCTGTGGGCAGGAAGGGCTGCACTGTTTATATCTTATGGAGTTGGGGGAGGTGAGGTCAAAAGGGAGGCCTCCAGAGGGACTTTTTTTTTTTTTAATGTTTATTTAATTTTTGAGAGAGATGGGGACAGAGTACGAACGGGTTAGGGGCAGAAGGAGAGGGAGACACAGAATCTGAAGGAGGATCCAGGCTCTGAGCTGTCAGCACAGAGCCCGACGTGGGGCTCGAACTCACAAACCGTGAGATCATGACCTGAGCCAAAGTCGGACGCTCAACCAACTGAGCCACCCAGGAGCCCCTAGGGGGACTTTCTTATGCTACAGGAGACTCATAAGATATCAGAGGCCTAGCTATTGTGAAGCTAAGTGTGTTTTTCCTCTAGTAAGGCTTTAACATTATGACGGTAGGGGGTTCCCGGAGAAATGTTATACTCTGTATTTGCCTCGAGTATTTGTCAATGGACTGCAGTTATAAGGAAATTTAATTTTACCTGACCCTTCCTTCTTGCCTTTTTCCCCATATCACTAGGGAGGGGAAGGTGGTGTTGGGGGCTCCAGAAACTGAGTCTACAGGTGTCTAGAGATTAGGCTATTGATAAGATTGTCTTTTTCTTGTAATTCACTAAGATATTTATAAACTGATGGAGACTCCTGTCTTGCAAGACTGTGATCTCGATCAGTTAATCATTTGGGTTTTTTCCCCTTTCCTTTGTTCTTGGGCAGTGGGAGTGCCAGAGGAATATCACATATACCACACCTGGGTGTGGGGTGTTATTAGCTTGTGTGCTTTGCCCCTAGCTTGCCTCTGCTCCCTCATCAGTGCTGGGTCAGACTGCCCCACCTCCCAGTGTGTGGTCTTTCACCTGGCAGCATGGTCCTCACCTGGGAGCTGAGCTCATTGGAAATGCAGGCTCTCAGGCCCCCAGGCCCCCACTTCCTAGTCAACCTACTGAATCAGAACCTGCAGCTTAGCAAGGTCACCAGGCGATTCTTGTGCACGTTAGCATGTAGGAAGCACTGTCTCAGAACATAGGCTCTGAAGTCTGACCACCTGCTTTCATCAAGCTCTTATCTCTTACTTCTGTGTGACCCTGGGCATCTCACTTAACCTCTCTGTGCTTCAGTTCCCTAGTGTGAACAGTGCACCCCTCTCTGGGCTACTGTGAGCCCTGCCAGGTAATACACGTGGAGAGTTAAAGCCAGATGAGCTGAGTCCTATTGAGCCCTGCATTGTAAGGTAATGGCTCTGAGCTATTGTTATTGTTAATGATTAAAAAAAATTTTTTTTTTCTAAGCCAGCCTATTGTCTTTGAGGCCTAAGCATCCAGGCCAAGGACGTTTACTTTGATGGTTGATAAGGGAGCATAAGGCAAGCAGAGGGCAAAGCACAAGCCAGCACCGCTGCCTACCCGCCTCCCCCGCCAACCCCCCGAGGGTGAAATATATGTGATATTCCTCAGGCACTCCTGCTGCCTAAGAACAAAGGAAAGGACAGAAAATGAATGGTTAAACTGATAGGAGTCTCTTTCAGTTTACGGATAATTGAGTAAAGGGCAAGAAAAAGGCAATCTTATCCATAGCCTAATCTCCAGCAACCTATAGACTCTGTTTCCTGGAGCTCTATAAACACCCTCATCAAGATGTAAGGGGGTTTGAGTGCTGGCCATGGTGATGCAGAAACAAAGGCAAATGAAAAATTAAATTTCCTTACTGCCTACAGCCCATTGACAAGTCCTTGAAACAGGCAGAGTGACCTTCCTCTAAGAGCTCAGCTGCCTCGATGATGACACTTTGCTAGGGGCAAAAGGGAATTTTAGCTTAACATTATCCTGACCCCTCCCAGGATCCTGTGAGTCTCCTCAAACACATAAAAATTCCTTTGCAAACCTCCTTTATCTTTAACTCCCAAGTATATGCTGGCAATTATACTCCATGCATATGGCCCCTGATATACATCTGAAGGGTCTCATGACTGAGGTTTTACTAAACAGTAATAAATGACGTTTTCCTACCAACAGCTAGCTTCTCAAGGTGCTAGAAACCTTGCTTCCGAAATTCCTTAGAGACTTACACTGTCCCTAACCCCCTCTGAACCTGAAGCTGTATAGAAGAAAGAAAGCAGCTCTTTCTGTCCACAGGTCCTGTCCCCATGCTTTAATAAAGTCACCTTTTGCACCAAAGACATCTTCAAGCATTCTTTCTTGACCATCGGCCCTGAATCCCACCATCACCCCAAAACCCCCTCAAAGGTCACATTTTTTTTTTAGCTGTATGGCCCCCTTCCCCTGTTTGATCCACGTTATTTAAATGGCCGCTGAGGCCATTTAAAACCCACTTGGACAGGTTCTTCACCCCACTCAGGACCATCTGTTCATACTAGCCCCCGTCCTGAACAAGTAAGACTACAAGGGACCCTGCAAACTGGGAAATTCTGGTTTCCCAGGAGGTTGAGGGCAGATCTCACTGGGACTCTCTGGGTCAGGGACCCATGGCAGTTCAGCTGGGAGAGAGGACACACGCTCTGCTCTGCCTGGTGGGGTTTCTGTCGGGTTTCAGAGTCACGGCTGGATTGCCTTCTTTTCTTCTGTTGTCTCTACAGATGAAAACCAGCGTGTCCACTGGTGAGGCTAATGTTCCTGTGAGCTGGGGCCAGGAAAAGGCAGCAGACAAAGGGAATAGTCAGCCAAGTAGAGTTTGCTGGAGATTTACGTGGAAACCTCCTCACAGAGGCAGTGCTGCTGGATTTATAACAAGGGTGAGATAATTTGTTCTTGTGTGCTAAGATAAGGGTAAACAAATTTCATGCTGTGATGCAAGCCCCTATCTGCAGAAGTCAGGAAAGATTCCCTGCCCTGCCGCCGAATCGCGTGCTTGACAAATTATCCTCAGAGGCTTATTTCTCTGGAGACTTCATCTAGTGGTCATGCCCGGGCCTGAGTATGAAAGGTGGAAGGACCGGCCTGGGTGCAGAGGAGGGGGACTCTTGTGTTCCTGTGCATCTGGAAGCCCAGAAATGAAAGTGACCACAGCGCTGCGGTGGCATTGAGTAGCTCTGTGGGATCCCTGGGCGTGATTGAGGAGACATGCCTGGAAATGTGAGTTTCTGTTTCACCTCGTGCTTGGCCTTGGGGCAGCAGTCACGTATGCCCTGGCTCTCCCTTTACACCGTCAACGGCAAGTAGGTAAGTGTCCGGTGTTCCTAGTTGCTCATCACACCTCCAGGGAAGGAAGCCTTCACTGGGCTCCAGGAACTAGTTGGCTGTCTCTCCCATACCTTCCACTTCTTTTTTTTTTTTTTTTTTTAAGTTTATTTTTGAGAGACAGAGCATGAGTGGGGGAGTGGCAGAGAGAGAGGGAGACACAGAATCTGAAGCAGGCTCCAGGCTCTGAGCTGTCAGCACAGAGCCCGATGCAGGGCTTGAACTCATAGACCGTGAGATCATGACCCGAGCCGAAGTCGGATGCTCAACCGACTGAGCCACTCAGATGCCCCTTTGTTTATTTTTTACAGAGAGAGAGAGAGAGTGTGCATGTACGAGTTGGGGAGAGGGAGAAAGAGAATCTTAAGCAGCTTCCATGCCCGGCATGGAGCCCAACGCGGGGCTCCATCTCACGACCGGGAGGTCATGACCTGAGCCAAAATCAAGAGTCTGATGCTTAACTGATTGATTGAGCCACCCAAGCACCCCATTTTTTTCTGTTTGTTTTTGAACCTCTTTAAAAAATATTGGGGTGCAACTTAAAATTTGGAAAGCTTATTATTCTGGAGTGTACATTATTTAGTGTTTTACATATATATTTTTTATAATCTTAATTATTCTGTATGTAATTATTATCATCCCCTTCCCAGATACTCAGACTGAGGCCCCAGAACCAAGAAAACACAGCTCATGTGTAGCAAAGCCCAAGCTGATCCCAGTGTCCTGAGCCAGGGTATATTGCTATCCGTGTGCCTTTGGGCATTTCCCTAGGCCTGGGCCTGCCTCTCATTTTCCCCAACTGTAAAACATGGGGAGAGACAGTTAAGATCCCATCAGCTGCTCATCAGTGGCGTCAGAGGTACAGGAGGAGGAGGTGTGCAGTCAGGTAGACTGGGCTTTAAGGCTTGAGCAACGTCACGTGTGAGTCCCCAGTACACAGCCTTGGGTGTGAGAAAAGTGAATAGGGAGCCAGTCAGTAGCACAGGGCTTTCAAGAGGCAACTCATCCCGGAACCTAGAAGTCTAACCTGCAACAGATGAGTGACCAGGCCGGTGTCATTGACAACGCTGATCCTAAAGATGGCGTGGTCGTGTTTGTGGGTTTGCAGAGTAAGGCACACATACATGCACACTCATGCACACACAGATACAATCATCAAGAGAGTGTGTGTAGCCAGAGACACAAGAGACATAGGATAAGGTTCTTTTACGTTGCAGATGATATCATCCAAACTCTCTGGCATCCCCATAGAGGACTTTGAAGATTACGACTGTCTTCTGTTACTCAGTCTTCCTCTGCCCATGCTTTCCATATTCTTCGTGCAGACGGTATGTATAATATATTACTTTTTTGGAAAACAGAGTAATGTATATGTGTGTGTATATATACGTATATATATATATGCACATATATATATACATATATATATATATATCACTATATATTTTTTCCCCATGATTTTTCCTTACGTAGACTATTCTGAAAGTTCATTCACAAAGCTGGGAAGCATAGTTGCCTCTGGGTAGGGATCTGAGTGCCAGAGGTACGAAAGAGAATAATTTTGCATAATATCCTCTTTTATATTTTTTGAATCTTTTAATCATGGGTATGGATTCCTTATTCAAAACAGTAAACTTTAAGAAAAAATAAATTAAAAAAATAAACTGTGGTCAAGTGTCTCTCTTACACTCCACTGTTCCTGAATTGGTTCCTCCGAGCAGATGATTGTTTCTGAATGTGATTAACTCGCAAAGTATTTATAATACAGTTAAAGGTTGTTTAGGGTTCATCAGAAAGAAGTAGACTGAAGGAAGGCCCCTGAGGTGTGGAGGATGGAAATGCCCTAGAGGGGGGCTGTTTCTCCAACCTCAGCCAGGAAAGACCAGACCACTGGGGCGTGATGAGTGCCGGTAATTCCAGAAAATCAGTTAAGAAATGAGGTGGACTCTCCGTCTTGGCACGTGGCTGGAAGGGGAGTATTTAGTAGGAGCATTGGGAGATTTGAACTGGACTTATGGAACTTCTTTTTTAGTTTTGAAAGTAATTTGGCTGCAGGTACCAAACATTTGTTGCTGGACTGACCTGTGGCCACAGAACCAAGGTGCAGGCTTTAAAGGCAGAGTTACCTGACTTTATTTAATACCTGCCCTGGGCCGGATGGTGGGTAGGCATTTTGCAGATCTTAAACAATCCTAACAAGTAGTGAATTTTACCTGCGAATGAACTTGAGACCATAACGAAGTTAGGGGTTAATCAGCTGGCCCCGGATGTCACAGCTAATATGGCAGACTCACAATTTGACACCAGATTCTCTTTGATTCCAAACCCTAGGCTTTACCCGATACTGTCTAAAGAAAAGGAGCTTGGGGTGGGGGTGGGGGGGGCGCCTGGGTGGCTCAGTCGGTTGAGCGTCTGACTTCCGTTCAGGTCATGATGTTGTATGGATTCAGGCCCCACATTAGGATCTGTGCTGACAGCTCAGAGCCTGGAGCCTGCTTCGGATTCTGTCTCCCTCTCCCTCTGTCCCTCCCCCACTTGTGCTCCCTCTCTCTCTCTCTCTCAAAAAGTAAATAAACATTGAAAAAATTTAAAAAAGAGAAAAAAAAGGAGCTCGGGCTATTGTCTTATTATATTGGCAAATATTTATCATAAGGTCGTGGCTCTCAACCCTGGCTACATCACAATCACCTGCAAGCATTGTTTGAACACTTGTTGCTAGCCCCCATCCCCAGAGCTTTGGGTTCCATAGGTTTGGGGTAGGGCCTGGGAATCTGCATCTCTAACAAGTTCTCAGGTGATGCTGATGCTTCTAGTTTGGTGACTCCTCTTTGAGAACCACTGCCATAAAGAGACTAGAGTAGGGGGCTCATAAAGCTTAACTGTTGAGCTGAGGATCAGATGTGATAGGAACAGGGCAATTTCATGCTGTTTATATTTCTTGCAATTATTTGTGTTTTTCTTTGGGTTTTAATGAAGTACTTTCTGAAAATATTTACCTATTTTTCCTGTTTTAAGGTGAAAGAGGGAAATGACTGTGTTGGCACATGAGCCAGAGAGAAGGGGGAGCAATGTACCTTAAAGGTACCTGGAGAGCCGACCACAGGACTCCGTAGGGGAAAGACCAGATCACTGATCAGGACTGGTCAGGTCACAAGTGACAGAAATCTAACTCCTTTCTCTTACAATCAGAATTGGCTGTGTGAAACAGCAGCTCACTTTAAACGGTGTCTTGAAACCAATTTTCTGTTTTTCTCGGACAACAATTCTGGAGGTAGATGGTCACTGTCATTGCTTTAGTGGCTCAACAATATCAAGTCTGGTATCTTTGGGATTTTTTTCCCTTTTTGTAAAAACACCTGGTCTTAGAAGAGCTGCTGTGGCTGCAGTCATCACATCTATATTCTAGTAAGGAAGTGGGAAAGTGGAAGGGATATGGTCTACCTCCTCTATTGGTATATCCCTCTTAAAGGCTTCAACTGTGTGTCATATAACTACTTCTAGCTGCAAGGGAAATGGACAGAGTATTTAGAGGCGATACATTGCCTCCCCTACACAAAATCAATTTTTCAGACAAAGGAGGAGGAGTGATTGGATATGAAGAATGCACTGAACAGTCTTGCACAGCAGATTGGGCAAAATGGAGAAGACAGTAGCTTTAGGAGAAAGGCAAAAATGGGTGGCTTCGAGAAAGTTATACGAGTTAGCTTTTGCTGAAAACCAAGCCACTCCAAAATTTGCTGTCCTATAAAGTTTAAGTAAGCATCTATTTGTTTATGAATCTGTAGATTGGCAACTCATCTGAGAGACTCACCTGTGCTCCATATGGTGTCAGCTGGGCTTAGTGTTGCATCTGTGACCTTAGCCAGATGGCTGGCGTAGCTGAGATCTTTGAGATACCTGCGATCTTTTATCTACATGGTTTCTGGTCCTACTGTCACCTTCTTCACATGGTGGCAGGAAGGTCCCAGAGAGTCACAAGTTATTTATTGTTGAGCAACACAACCACTCTAAAACACGGAGAAATACACAACCACCCTTTCATTTGCTCATAGCTCCGTGAACCATCATTTTGGTCTGGGCTCAACTTGATACTTCTTCTGCTGATCTCTGGTATCGCTCATGTGACAAAACTGGGGCCAGATGATCCACGAGGGTCTTCCTTTTATGTCCAGCAAGTGGTGCTGTCTATTGGCTGAGCCGCTTGTCTCCTTAGGCTAGCCTGGGCTTCTTCACATGCTGACCAAGTTCTAAAAGCAGCAAGGGAGAGAGTAGGTCCCAACATGTAAATGCGTTCCAAGCCTCTATCGTATCACATTTGCTGGTGTCCCACCAGCCTCAGCGAGTCCTGTGGCCAAGATGCGAATCAGCATGGGAGGGGACTGTGCAGGTTGTGTATATGAGGAGACAGGATTTAAGTCTCCCACGTGTACCTTAAGCCGAAGACTTGGATATCCACAGGGTTCTCTCTATCACGTTCTTGCTCTTCTCTACTTGTCTTCCTCATTCCTTTAGGCAAAAGCCTTCCCCTGAGCCTGGAGCCACACCTGCCCTCAGCTCCAGGAATCACTTTTCTCAATTTCCCAGCAAAGGGAAAAGGGTGTTTCCCCTTTCAGCGCCATTCTGAATGCCACTGGGAAGAACTCTGATTGATCTACTTTCGGTGAAATGCCCTTCCTCTGGCTAAGCAATAAGGTACCATTTCTGACAGTTGCCTGTAAATGGCATATTTGGACAGGGGGTGCCGATAGAGCAATTTTGGAGATGCTACCCTAGAAACAAAGTGGTGTCTCTTCCGGAATAATAGAGGTCTGCTGTCCAGAAAAGACCGCTATAGTTGCACAGACAATTTTAGGGGCCATTTGAACAGAAAGCCTCACGGACTCTTCTGTGGATATTTTTTTGTTTGTTTTGTTAGCCGGTCAGGAGGGGGGTTGGTTGTAATAAATGCAGTTTCTATCGTTTTCCAAAAACACTAAACCAATCTACGCATTTCCCCTATTTTCTTTGAAAAAATGCAGACCAACATCCACTGCTGGCCCCAGTGGGAAGGTTTCTTTCTTTTTTTTTAATTTTTTTTTTAAATTTTTTTTTCAACGTTTATTTATTTTGGGGACAGAGAGAGACAGAGCATGAACGGGGGAGGGGCAGAGAGAGAGGGAGACACAGAATCGGAAACAGGCTCCAGGCTCTGAGCCATCAGCCCTGAGCCCGACGCGGGGCTCGAACTCACGGACCGCGAGATCGTGACCTGGCTGAAGTCGGACGCTTAACCGACTGCGCCACCCAGGCGCCCCGGGAAGGTTTCTTTCTAACTGGGTGTTCTTTGTGGCAAATATACAATAGCAAGTACATTGTCTTGTCACTCACCTGCCCCTGAGATTGTGTTGGGATAACAGAACCCGGAAGAGCAAAAGAAGAAAGACCTGAGTCCTTAAGTGGCCCATTGGTCATATCAGTGAGGGTCCATTTTTTTCCCCCTCCATTCCCGTCAAGAATTCGAGAGTATGCTAATGACGTTTCACATTATAATCTGTGAGTATATGGGCATGAAAATTGCTGGGATTGCCTCTGCTTTGCATGGCTTTCCAGGTGAGTGTCACTGAGGGGCCCCAGCAGGAGCGGAGTGTCAGGGCCCACTCTGGCCTTTTTAATTGGAGTGAGGGACAATCAAGAGAAGCAACCACTGAGGGCACATGCAGTGTGGGAATGCTGGCCTTTGGGGAATGCGATCCAGTTTCCAGAAATAGCGGAGATTCCTGAAAGGCTTTGTGGCAGGCTCTGCTGGGTAGCCATAGAGATGCTGTGTCGCCTGCTTCCCTGCTGCAGAACGGCATGAGCTTGCTCTCCTCTTTCCAGGGGCCTTCCTTAGCCGGTGCAGCCGGGGGCTCATCTCAGAGACTCTCCCAGACACAACCACTACTCAGAAGCACTCCATTAATCGGTGGAACCGGGCCCTAACGGTCTCGGTGCCCTGCGGCATCTCACGGCCTCCCCTTCTGCCCAGCCAATATTTGCCAGTAATTGTGGTGTCACCGCTTCTAGTTAACAGGCTCCAGTTTGCCTTCAAGGGGTTGTTGAGTTCAAATCTTTTGGACTCTTTGTTAGCAGTTAGAGTGTGTTTATAAGTAGGACTGCTGAGGAGTCTTGGCAGTGACTTTGGAACATGAAAACTGTCTGGCTTCACGCACACCCAGTTTACAATCCATGTATCCTCTCTCCACACTCCTCCGTGGTCTCCCATACCCACGGGTCCTGGATAGACCTTTTCTGGGAGATGGCTGGGCCCAAACTGGGATTTCTCAGCCCATGCAATGGAAGAGCCAAAATG